GCTGTATTCTGAAAATCAAGTCCATTTTTTCCATCACATCACGTTTTCACAGTACAGATAATTTCTATTTTTCTTAAAATAGGCCTATAATACCCAATTAGAAGTGATATGTCAGGGCCAAGTAGAACAAACCTTAAATGTTTTCAAGTTAGAATATCTTATCATAAAAAATAGCTCAATAACTTAAAGAATACATTTTCAGCATTTTTAGTTCAGAGAAAGTTTTCATAAAAATCTACCACAAAATTAAATTAAGAAAAATATGTGTCATCAATTGTTGAATCAAAACAGACAAAGATACAAAGGAATGAAAATACATTAATTTTTGTCCATCCAAAGTTAGAAATCTTCTCTTCTTGAAAACTCCACGCTGGTTTTGAAAAGGGTAATCTCTTTTGATGTTCCTGCAGAAATCACCCATCATGTTAACATCCCATCTGCCTTTGTATGTTTCTTCAATTACCTTGAGATCCCGAGGAGACCTTTCTCCCTGTTCATTACTATAATCACCAAGATTATTAGGAAACCGATCGAGGTGACTAAACGGAAAGTGAATCTGAGTGTCAGAGGCCTTCAAATAATCTCGCACTAATGATATTGCTCGATAATACTCGCTCGATTAATAACCACCGTATAGTAATCCGAATAGTAAAGATAGTATAACGAATAGAGTAAAGAATAGCGGTCCTTATAGTAATAGAGGATAGAGTAGAAATCGCGACCCGAATAGTAATAGAGGATAGAGTAGAAATAACGATCCAAATAGTAATAGAGGATAGAATAGAATTAGTGATCCGAATAGTAATAGAGGATAGAATAGAAATAGCGAGTCAAATAGTAAAAGAGGATAGAGTAGAAATAGTGATCCGAATGGTAATAGAGGATAGATTAGAAATAGTGATACGAATACTAACAGAAGAGAGCATAAGAATAGCGATCCGGATAGGAATAGAGGATGGAACAGAAATAGCGATTCGAATAGTAATACAGAATAGAATAGAAATAGCAATCCGAAGAGTAATAGACGATACAATAGAAATAGCGATGCGAATAGTAATAGAGGATAGAGTAGAAATAACGATCCGAATAGTAATAGAGGATAGAATAGAATTAGTGATCCGAATTGTAATAGAGGACAGAGCAGAAATAGCGATCCAAATAGTGTAAATGGATAGAGTAGAAATAACGATCCAAAGAGTAACAGAGGATAGAGTAGAAATAGCGATCCGAAGAGTTATAGAGGCTAGAGCAGAAATAGCGACCCGGATAGTAATAGAGGATAGAGTAGAAATAGCAATCCGAAGAGTAATAGAGGATACAGTAGAAATACCGATCCAAATAGTAATAGTAGATAGAATAGAAATAGTGATACGAATAGTAATAGATGACACAGTAGAAATAGCGATCCGAATAGTAATAGAGGATAGAATTGAAATTGCGATCCGAATAGTACTAGAGGATAGAATAGAAATAACGATCTGATTAGTGATAGAGGATGGAACAGAAATAGCGATTCGAATAGTAAAAGAAGATAAAGTAGAAATAGCCATCCGAATAGTAACACAGGAGAAAATAAAAATAGCTATCCGAATAGTATAAGTAGATAGAATAGATATAGCGATCCGAGTTGTAAAAGAAGAGAGCGTGGAAATAGCGATCCGAAGAGTAATAGGGGATAGAATAGAAATAGCGATCCGAATAGTAATAGAGGATTGAACAGAAATAGCTATTCGAATAGTAATAGAGGATAGAATATAAATAGCGATTCGAATAGTAATAGAATAGAAATAGCGATCCGAATAGTAATAAAGAATAGAAATAGCAATCGGAATAGTAATGGAGTATAAACTAAGAATGCAGTCACGCTAATTTCCATTTCTGCGTTTCTTTCACGGTGACGTGATCTACCTAATTCAATAAACTGATCGCCTGTATTTGCTCACTGGCGATCTTTGATCATACTCATTTTTCGGCATCGACACTTTATTCTTATATAACATTTTCTTTGGGATTATCTCGATTGCTGATATTACTAAAGCTCTTCTTAAATTGTGCCACTTCGATTTTCCATTTTCCTTTTAATTCACGTATTTACTTTTCACACTATTCATCTTTTTTCTTCTTCAGATTCGAGTTTTTCATGAATCAGTCATGTTGCAGTCTGGGTATTGCCTTAGTCCTCTTCCGTTTTCGTAGTTTCACTCTAAGTTTACTCATCACTGGTGGTGGTGGGGGGGGGTGTTATCGTTCCAACAGTCGGTACTTGCGGTTGATCGCTTTCAAACTCAGTACTTGTTGATAGTTATGTAGTCGATCTGTTTTTTTTTTTTATGTTTTTTTTATTTATTTCTCCTCCTGGGCTTTTCCATGTCCATATTTGTCTTGGGGCTTCTTGAAACCAGGTGTTGACTACTACCTGATCATTTGCTGTGCACCCTTGATCCCATTCTTCTCAGTGTACATTACGGGTTCCTCAGCCGAATTTGCCAATTATCTCACTATGCATTTTGTTGCCTATTTCGTCATTCATTGTCTCCTATGACAATTATAATTTATTCCGATTTGCAAAGTGTTTTGGCCTCGTTTCGTGTAGGGTAGAACTTTACAATTCTTTCTTCTTTACTTTGTGCTCTCAGTGCATACATAATTATGATGGCTATGTTGAAAGGTTTTCCATTCAGTTGAACGACAAGAATTCTTTCCGATATTTGACAGTATCCCAGAACGCATTTCTACATGCCTTGATCTAGTGTCAATCCTACTCCTCTTTCATTTTTCTCTTCGCCTGCATATATGATCTTGTCTTTGTCACTGACAAAAACTCCATTGTTTGCTCACCGGGTTTAGCATACATCTAAAATACTGATATTTAACCTAGCAATTTAAGTTTTATATTTTCTGTCAAGAGTGTTTTAATATTGCATATCCCGAGAATTATATTTTGTTTGATGCGAACAGTCGCTGGATGATAGTCAGGTGACACCTGTCGCTCATGTCTTCCCTTATCGGGCTAGGGATGAATCCCAAGGAATTAGACCCATTTTAGGCCGTTTATGCTAACAGTCGCTTGATGACGGTCATGTGACATCTGGAGCGCATGTCGCTCCTTACCATGTGAGTTAATTCCAGTAGACCTAACCCCCTTCACGCCATTAGCTTTCATATTTGGTGCCTTAAATACTATGATATTACTTGGGATTGATAGTGGAGTGGTTTTCCGTTCAACAGAATAATATCACTCAGTCAGTTATATGATATGCGTGATACAAGCGTAGGCGATCATGCATCTTTCGATACATGACTGACGAGGCAGATTTTTCCCGCACTAGGTTGCCATTTCTTTCTGCAATGGATCAGTTGCCATCCAAATCTATAGAACCCGGTCCGTTCTGCTATTTACCCATAGCTGGGGGGAGAAGAAGAGGTATTAGCACGTAAGTGAATACAATGGATTCAACTGGAATTCGAACTCGGCTCTCCGAATCCTCAATCCGAGCCGCTATCCATCTCCGCCGTGAAGAATCTCAATTGACTTATTTTTGTGCAAAACATGGGCCTCGGATATGAATTACCACATTCGCATTTATTAACCACTCAGTGACGTTAGGTCAAAGGGTCTGAATATGGCGTAATTTAAGTGTATTAAATTACAGGAGGTGGGAAAGAAGAGAAGATGAAGTCTTTAACTATTTGTTTTGACTTCCAAACTAGTTAACGCGCAGGATTTAATTTGTCCTCTCTCATCTTTCCAAGACCGTTTTTATAGCGAAGAGCAGAAACCATTTCTTGAAATGGAAGGTGACCGTAGATTACTCCACAATAAATCCTTTGAAATTTCAAACAACTTATCTCCTACGAAAATTGAGAGACCGCTTCAAAAAAGGATTAATAATATTTCCCCTCCTAAAAATAGATATTTAAAAATTTGTGAAAATATTTATTAATCAATAAACTCCTGAGTTTAGTAAATCCAACAGTTAGCTTCCTGGAGTCTATTCGTTGTTATGAATACGATCGCGTAAATTCACAAAATATTGTATCATTAATTACTCGAACTTTTGCATAAGTTATCGATAACGTACTTACAATAGCCACGCGATTTTAAAGTAAATTAAGCGTACTCGGAACACACGAAAGAAGCGATGTAAACAATATGTTAATAGTAGTCATAACACTGATCCCGTTCACTAACCGCAGGAAAATTACACGCATTCATAAAACAACGTAAATACGTGACAATCTCCTGTTTCTTCTATTATACTAACGCAATTTATTTTGTTGTGTTGTAAGAAACAACAAAATTGTGACACTGTTTCGCGAGGATCTTTGTATTTTTTTTTTTCAACTTGAACGAAAACAAATATTCGATAAAAATATTTAAAATTTGTGGAGCTGTGTTTGAGGATTGTTTATTTCTTTGCTTTAAGCATGCTTATTCATCTACAAATATACCGTAATTGCACAGAGGATGTATGAACCGAAATTAGAATCGGCTGGCCGAGTTCAAGTTAGAGCCTATGTTGTTGTGTTTATTTTTTAACTAATGCCCGTGTGAAAGGCATAAATATATGATTGAAATAGCGGGGTAGCTCAACCGCTTTAGCCTTAGATAGCGACCAGTCTAGGAGAAGGCTAACTCTGAATTAAAAACTCTGGAAAAATGCTCCGACAAACACTCTACTCTTTTTCCCAGTAATGCAGAAGATAAAGAAAAGGTGGGGAGCCATGTTCGTCAACGACCTGAAGGAGCATGACAAAAAATTACAGAAAAAGAGGTCGAGAAACTAAAAGCTTGACTATTTAACTTGGTGATATAAGAGACATGCTGAAAACGGTCGTTAACCACATTATTATACACGGGGTCAAATTTTCAGAGAAAAACTGTTTTATTCATCTTCGGTTCTGAAAAGAATAGAACTGGGTATTTTTGAAAATGTATAATAAAGCCTATTCTGTTAACGATATGTTTTGATTTATATATTTAAAATTCTTTTTTTCAGCTAACTCAGAATAAGAGCGGGGGAAGTATTATCAATATGTCTTCTGTAGCTTCAAGTATTAAAGGTGAGCTTCATTTTATCAATTTTTGACATTTTGATATATATTATAATTGTATTATGAAATTTGATATTTATATTATTTATTTATATTTATTGATATGATTTATTTATTCATATTTTTTTATATAATTCACTTATTAAATTTGATACTTATATAGTTTATTTTTTATTTATATATACTTATTTATATAATTTATTTATTTATATTTATTTATATAATTTATTCATTTATATAATTTATTTATTACATCTGATATTTATATAATGTATTTATTTATATATATTCACTTATATAATTTATTTATTTATTTATATTTATTTATATAATTTACTTAGTGATTTCTGCCTTGAAGCTGAATCCCCGACATTCATACGAATAGAAATGACATACTTTATTTAATTCTTACAGGCGCAGCTAATCGATGCGTATATGGAACCACAAAAGCTGCCGTAATTGGTTTAAGTAAATCAATTGCTATCGATTTTGTACAATATAACATACGATGCAACGCTGTGTGCCCAGGTAAGAGTGATTTCTCAGTTTGATTTCTCATTGATGTGTCGACGTACATCAGTGGACATTCATTTGAGTTGAAACGCTGTTTAAAAATTATACTAATTTCGCCTTTAAAACTAAATTATTGTCTATATTTCTGGGATAAAAATCTGTTACTATAGAAATTGACTTTTGTTATGGAATTTCCGACAGGAGATAACAAACGCCTGTATCAAATTTAATTTCCATCTGGAACATTCTTATAAGAAGTATTGATCTGTGGCGATTTTACTCGGTGTCAGTACAGAACGTTAAAAGATCTAGGAACCTTGAGGATTGACCTTGTAGTTGACCTCAAAATTACTGCAGAATTGGGTCTCGAATGTTGTCGGTAAATGTACCAACATAAAAAAAGGAAGTGGACCCAGTTGAATATTAGATACAGAAACGCAAAACAACTGGATAATGGGATGTTATATAAACATCCGATCTACGAAGGGAGATAAATAACCTCTCAAGCCAAAAAGATCGAGCTTTTGAAGAAAGACCTGAAACCACATAACCTCGATTCGATATGCGTTAATTTGAAGGATTAATAAACGATTATTTTACGGATGAATAATGTAGTCATGTATTTCTATCAATCTTTACTATCCTTATTGTATATTAGGTTGTTGCATTAGGTTATTATTCATTCGTTTTTTCTCCTGTTCTGTGAATGATCTCGAAGAATATTTTTTCGTAGAATGTTTTGCTTCTAAATAACTTTAGTTATCATGTGAAACTGTTTTCTAACGTTATTGAACCGTTATTTCAGATTAGACAACTATTTGAGATTAGATGTTAAGTAGACAAGAATAGGCATGTTCGATATTTTCACTTTACTTTTAATCAAAGTAAAAAAAAATCTACCAAACCTGCTCAAAATATTTGTGATTTGTACAGAGATGACTTCCTCACTGACAGAATGGCACAGAAAGGGTTTTCCCTTTTCAGGGACTCATAGACACTCTGCATTCTAGACGACCTGTTTAGATTGATGAGAACCAATTGCACGCAAGTAAACTATCGGCAATGGAGAGGCACTGGAGTTTGTTTCTCTCGGTCAATGCATGTGGCACCCATGAGGTGTGTTTCTCGGCCTTACCCATTGAGTGAAGATGACGAGTGACAGTAATATAAGTGCTTACCATCTCCTGAGACAATTTCCTAGGTGCATGGCTGGGTTCTTCTTTAATCTGGATGTGCAACTGGTTCTCATCAAATTAAACAGGTAGGTCAGAACGTAAAGAGTTTGTGATTTCGAACACCCCTCATTGAAACAGGAAGATCATTTCTTTACCACTTTGTCGGTAATGAAGTTATATCTCACCGTTTCGGTCGCTATGCCTCATCACGTGTATGTAGATCAGGGTAAACTATAGGGATACAGAACTCAACACTTTATTTAATTATTTAAGACATTTTTTTAATGTTTATACGTTCTTTTTATAGATACAAATATTTAAGTAAATGCTCTGTTTATAATAAACAGTATTAACAACATTCACTCTCTTTTAATTTTTTAGTCAAGCTTTATTCCCCCCCACTCACTTTATTTTGTAAATTTTTTTTTTGTAAGCATAGCTTTATTTTCGTTTTACTGTATATATTTTTTTGTTTTCCACTTGGTTTTATTAACCACGCGTTAATTTTTAGCATTCCCTCAATTTAGTTTGTAAATTGTAGTTTTTATTAAGCAATTTTTTGTGACTTGGTTGGTAACGCTAATTAAGCTGCCTCTATTTGCGGTAAAATAAGTTAATTTAGGCGTACGTTGTAGTGCAATGGATATCAGCTAGGAATGAGAACGCGGGGAGCCAAATTCGGATTTCAGTCGAGTCCGTTACATTCACTTATCCGTCCTGGGTAAGACGATAAACTACATCCACGTCCCGGGTAAGCCGTTAAACAAACCAAACCAAACCAAATATCCACTTGGGAATATATACACTTGGGAATGGTATAAATCCATCTCTTATCCTCTCGGCTATGGGTTGAATAGAAGGATAGACTGGGGAGCCTTGGTTGGCAACCCGTCTATCGCAGAAATAATTGGCAACCTACTGCGTAAAAATCTTCAAAAGCTTTCTTCCAACATGCCAGCATGGAAGTGCAGGCTAATAAAACTAACATGAGAATGATACCTCATTTTGATACGGGTTCTGCAACATTGAGTAAGCGTTTTTATTAAGTTAATGGGGTATTTTATTTTGTTCATATGTGGATAGCTGTTTGTGCCAAATTTAACAAATAAATTCCTAGATTTGTTTCGTCTAATAATGAATTAATTTGTTGATTTTTTTTTAAAGTAGCAAGCTGTTCATTGCTAAAATATATAACTAACCGTTTGTTGATCAGGCTACTGAGCTTATGTGCTGTATATGAAATAAATATACGTGCCGTATATTAAAGAATGCTAACAATAATGTTAGCCGTTTCCTTATAAGGGAACAATGGGTATTCAATGACAGTACAGTCAGTGCTGCTTTTCTTTGAAATTTATAAAATCTTTCTCTTAAAACAATTTTTCAGGAAAATAGGCTTTCCACACCCATTAATTGTTATCGTTCTTTCCAGTATTGATGGAGGTTTCCTTCCTAACCTTTTGTTTGATGTAGTGTGGAGTATCAAAATCTTGATTCTGTCATTATTTTCTCTTTGACTTACAGGCGCTATCTATTTTAATTGTTGTAGCTGTTGAAAGTTCTCAAGTAACGTGGCTTCAGTTATTTGATATCGCTCTTTGCGAATGTGTAGCGCCATTTCCCAGTGTTCTAAGAATCACGGTTTTCGCCAAGATCCACGGACTTCCCCCGCTCAGATCCATTTTTAACCATTGATTTCAGAAACCGCTTTTGTGATTCCTTCACAGTCTTTGACAGAGATATTTGGAAAGATACTTGACTCATCAAAAGAAAATGGGAAAGAAACGAAGAGAGAAAAAAGGAAGGAGAAAGTCAAAGAAAGAAAATGGGAAGGAAAGAAGGAAAAATCTTTTTAAAAAAATGAGAAAGAAAGAAACAGATAAACAAAATGTGAAAGGAAGGAATAAAGGATTAAAGAAGGAAATAAAATGGAAAGGAAAAGAGGAAAAAAAGAAGGAAAATGAGAAAGAAATAACGAACCAAAATGTGAACGGAAAAAAGAAAGAAAATGAAATGTTAAGAAAGAATGAAAGAAAGAAGGAAAATGATAAAGAAATAATGAAACAAAATGTGAAAGAAAGTAAGAAAGGAAACGGCAAAGAAAGAAAGAAAATGGGAATGAAAGAACAAGACAAAATGAAAAGAAGAAAGAAAATGGAAAGGAAAGAAAGAAAAAAGGAAAATGGGAAAGAAAGAATGAAACAAAAGGAAATAAATAAATAAAATGGGAAGAAATGAAAGAAAGGATTGAAAAGATTGAAATTGTAACCCAATATTCACAAATATCTCCAGCATTAATGTTATCGGGTGTACTTATCAAATGAATTCCCAGAGGGAACCATGGAAACCATTAACAATGGCCGCTATCGTTATATCGTTTAATAATGAATGAATATTTTTTTTTATAAAGAAACACCAACAAATGTTTACTATTGTGAAAACATGTTTTCTTTTAATCATTTCATCTCCAGCAAGGCAATAATGCCACTAAGATGAAAGAGAATGAGTGAAAGAGAATGAGAAGACATTAGCGAAGAGAAAAGACAATAAAAAGAGGTTTTACAAAGAAATTGGCGATTGACGTTACATTTCATTTTTAGAAGCAGCAAGAAAATGGAAGAGAGTTCTACATTTGAGAAATGCGAGAAAAGAAACTACTGGAATAAAATATATGCAAAGAAAGATTTACACAATGAGAAAGAAAGATGGAAAAGAACGAAGGAAAATGGGAAGGAAAGAAAGAAACATGAAGGGAAATAAGAAAGAAAGAAAGAAAGAAAGAAAGAAAGAAAGAAAGAAAGAAAGAATGAAAGAAAATGGAAAGGAAGGAAGCGAAGGGTGAATTAGAATAGGAAAGAAAGAACGAAAGAAATGCGAAAGAAAGAAAGAAAGAAAGAAAGAAAGAAAAAAAAAGAAAGAAAGAAAGAAAGAAAGAAAAAAAAGAAAGAAAGAAAGATAATGGCAAAGAAAGAAAATTGAAAGGAAATAAACAAAAGGAATGAAAATTGGAAAGAAAGAACTAAATAAAATGTGAAAGGAAGAAAGAATAAAACAAAGAAACAAAGAAAGAAGAAAAATGGGAAGGAAAGAAAGCACAAAAGAAAGAGAGAAGAAAAATGAGACGGAAAGAAAGAATGAAAGTGCGTATAAATATGAAAGAAAATATTTATAGTACCAAAAAATACAACGCATATTAGACAAGCACCCAGTGGTGTTTTAAATGACGCTTCTTAGATGATCACTGTAGCCTAATCAAAGAGAGACACATATTTAAGTACAAGACATGTGTACGAGGTAGCTGTCATTGGAGCGGAAATGAAATAAGCAAGCCGAGTTCTCTTCTCCCTGGGCTAGGGATGAAATAGCAGGGTAAACTGTGCTCTCTAGCCTTGGGTGGTAACTCGACTAGGAGAAGAAAAATTCTAAATTCCAAAGTAAGTGGCACAGTGACTCATATCCGAGTATGCCAGTTTACGAGGCACACCGGTGGCTTATACTGCAACTACGCTGATCGCACTTTAGTTACAATGGGAGAGTGCGTGTTATCTAGCGTAATCAACTGTCTGAACAAGGACAGCACTCTCAAGCCCTCGGTCACGATGACTTGTGATTTTAAGCTAACACAACCATCGACGGCCCCCAAGGATTCCGTCTACCCAATTTCATTTATAAGTTCTAAATTCCAAAGCCGTTCAGATATAAATGTAAACGGCGCAGTCACTCGTATCCGAGGATTTCAGTTTACTAGGCAGACGCCTGCCCAGGTACAGTTGCGTTTCTTCAACATGCACAGAGCTCACCGGTGTTTTTAACTGCAACTATGCTAATCGTACCTTAGTTACAGTCGGAGAGTGCGTGTTATCTAACGTGGTCAACATTATGAACAAGGCTAGCACACACAAACACTCGGTCACGATGACTTGTGACTTCAAGCTAGCACAACCAGCGACGGCCTCTAACGGTTCCGTCTACCCAATTTCACTCATAAGGTCTAAATTCCAAAGCCGTTCATATATAAATTTAAGTTGTGCAGTCACTCGTATCCGAGGGTGCCAGTTTACTAGGCAGACGTCGGCCCAGACACACTTGTGTTTCGTCAACACCCACAGAGCCCATTGGCTGTTTATAATGCAACTACGCTGATCGCACCTTAGTTACAGTCGGAGAGTGCGTGTTATTTAGCGCGATCAACATTATGAACAAAGCCTCCGTCACGATGACTTGTGACTTTAAGCTAGCACAATCATCGACGGCCTCCAAGGGTTCCGTCTACATAATTTCACTCACAAGGCATGGGTCAACCCGTGGTATGGTTTTCGGACATTTTCCACGGGTGCTGCACGCTGGGATCGTCTTTTACAGACCGATAATATCAAGAAGGCAAATTCTTGACTAATCGAGAGATTCGAACCCATGGTCAACAGGCAAATGTTCTAATCACTCGGCTATATGTCCGCTGTCCAGAATGCAGCAGTCCTGTAATAAGAATGAAAAGAGCTACTATCGCTGGTTCCCAGAAGGCATGAATTTAAGCGTGCTACTAGGCTGACATCACGGTCCTAACCTTTCACTGTCGAGACGGTTAGTTGTGGCTGTCTCTTCTACTCCAATAGCTTCATGTCTCATACCTCCCCTCTGTGGAATTCCCTTCCTATTACTTGTTTCCCTGATAGCTATAATCCCCAACTATTCAAATGTAATGCCAACCGACATCTCCAAATGGCCTGATCTATTCTCTATCCTTCTCTTCATCCTTTCCTCCATCACGCCTCTTTACTCTCACTCCCATTCCCTAACCCCTTGCGTGCTAGTGGCATTCCGCCTTGCTTGGGGTGAAATGCTTTAAAAAAATCCTAGTTAATACAGAAAAAAAACCGAATTTATAGAAAACCATAAGCTATGTGCACGAATCTGTACTGAACCTGAATAGACCATAGTTGTTGAAATCTGAATATAATCTCAATTTTGTGTCATGCGGGATACACGCTTAGACGATCATGTACCTTTCGATACATGACTGACGAGGCAGATATTTTTGTTTCTTGCATTTCTTTCTACGGTAGACCATTTGCCATCCAAGGCTAGAGAACCCTGTCTGTCCTGCTATTTAATCATAGCTGGGTGGAAGAAGAGAGGATTCATACCTTTCCCAAGGGAAAGGTATGAATCACGTAAGTGAATGTAATGGATTTCATTGGAATTCGAACTCGGCTCTCCGATTCCTCAATCGGTGACGCTATACTTTTGTTTATTTGCATATTATTTTTAATTTATCTCATATATAATATTGGATTAATTACTTATTTTTAGGTACCGTAGACACACCTTCATTTCGTGAAAGGATCAGTAACCAGGCTAATGCAGAACAGGTGAGTAAATAAAATATTTCTTTGTAATTTAATTATATCAAATATGTGGTGCAGTTTAATTTATATTACAATGAATCATTCATACAAAAAGTAAATTAGTAAAGTTTATGATATAAAGTGGCGAAATCCATTCGCTAACAAAATTTTAATGATGCATTAACCTACTAATCACTCGATGAATGTTATGATCCTTGTTTTTTAAATTTATAAACTGTATTAGGAACCGTCGAAAGTACTTGCATACTTAAGAAAGACCTAATACAGTTTAAATTTTAATATATATATATATATATATATATATATGTGTGTGTGTGTGTGTGTGTGTGTGTGTGTGTATGTGTCTGTGCGTGCCTGTGTGTGTAATGATATTACAATGAATCATTAACTTTACTAATTTACTTTACTAATTTCCTTTTGTATAAATGATTCATTGTAATATAAATTGAACTGCACCACATATTTATATATATATATATATATATATATATATATATATATATATATATATTATTATTATTATTATTATTAAAGGCGACAGTCTGTTTCATGCTAGGCGCAATCGTCAGGCCACGAGTTGTGAGCTGTAGTTTTAACGAAAACTATTACCTGAGTTGACAATTTTTTTTGTTAAATTGGCTTACGAGAAATTGAAATAAGAGGAAAACGTGTAACATGAGGTTTTATTTAAAACTCGATATGGTCAGGCAGATTTCATTACCTGCTTCTTGTGCCGCCCAGGAATCACGTCAATTGTTTTCACCAGGAAATCCTGTAATATGGAATATATAACTTTGTGTATTCGCACTTAATGCTCTTCCAAATCTTGGATTGGTATAACAGCCTTGCTCTTCCTAACCACCCCGAAGAAAAAAGGTCAGTGTATTAAGTCAGAAATCCTGCCTGGCTCCTCATAGAGAGTTACTTTTTAATCACCCTATATATATATATATATATATATATATATATATATATATATATATATATATATATATTGAACAATAAGAAAATAAAAAATTAAAAAATTAAAATCATTAGACACACTGGGTTGTAGATTAATATTCTTTCGTTTTTTTATTATTATTATTCCATTTAGATTCCTCGACTAGTTTCGACCGAAATGGCCATCATCGGGAGGAGAAATATATCTGCCTGCTGTTGGCAATGAACTACAGAAATGAATGTCTTTTGTTGGAGAAAATGAACTTTTGTCTGTAGTTTTCATTTGTTTTTTTTGTTTTTTATCTTTTTCACATGAATCTTTTAACATTCCTTGTGTTGGTCAAACAGTCTCTTTTAAGTTGTTATTTGAGATAAGAACTGGATAGATACGTTTTATCCTGAATTCTCTGGTCAGTTTGACAGTTTTATTGGACCTGGTGAGGGGATGTGTCTCTGTTTAGTGTTTGTGTGCGTGTTATTTGGTTCTTAGGGAGTGAGTGAGTATAATATGTGTAAGCGTGTGTATTGCTGTAGGTGTGTGTTATCATTTGGCTCATTAGGGAGTGAGTGAGTATGATGTGTGCAAGTGTGTATATTCGTGTGGGTGAGTGTATAAGTGTGAGGCCTCCATTCCTCCGTTAGCATGTCTGTCTTGTGTGGGTGAGAAATGTGGGTAGGTTTTGATTTGTTGATTGTTACTATTATATGTTGTTAAATTTATGATTTAGCCCGGCTGGGTATTGTGTTTTTAGACGTTGTATCCACTTATTTTCATGGGACTCTAAAATCTTTCTAATGTTATCTGCTCTGAACTTTTCTATTCTCTCAATTATAGTGAATCTGGCATGGGTTTTGAAATCGTGTTTTCTAGGCGGAAATGTTGTTCTACAGGTAATAACTGTTCATAGGGAGTCGATTTAATTCGCTTACGATAATTATTAATTCTGTAGTGAAAGGGCCATTCAGATTTTCCTACATATTGTTTCTGGCATAGTGTGCATTCTAGGAGGTAAATTATGTTTTGACTTCTACAGTTAGAATCGTGGTAGATTTTGAAAGTAGATTTAGTGATTGAGCTCGTGAATGAATTCGTGTTTTTTAATATGGTTGCAACATAAACTTCTTTTGTTGTTACATGGTTGGGAAAATCCTGTTGTTTTTTGTTCTCAGTTCCTTACGGATTACCTTGTCCCCTGAAATGTGGTTTACTACCTATGATTTCTTTTTAGGTTCTTAGGTCTACGATATGCAAGAAGGCCGGGTTCCTTAAGCAGTTTTTTTAGGTCTGGTTTGAGATGTAGTATTTCCCAGCGACGTTTGATTATTTGGGATAGTGGAGGTAGAGTGGGATTGAAAGTGGTTACTAGAGGGATGCGGCTAGATTTATTTTTAATCTTGTATATTAGGGTGCCTTCTCTAGGTGTGGAAATTGCTTTATTTATTTGTTCCCTGATTAGGCGTTGTTTATAGCCACGTGTTGTGAATTGATGCTCCAGATTTTCAATGTGTTTATTTAATTCTTCATTGTTGGAACATATCCTTCTGAGTCTAAGTGCTTGTGAATAGGGAAGGTTCTCTTTGAGGTGTTTAGGGTGGGAAGACTTAAAGTGTAGATAGTTGTGGGTGTCGGTGATTTTAGTGTGTAGTGTCGTTTGTAGTTTTCTGTTTTCATCTATGTAAATGCGGGTGTCTAAAAATGTTACTGATGTTGTGGATTTTCATAGTCAAACTTAATTGAGTCGTGCACTGTGTTTAGGGTCATAAGGAATTGGGTAAGTTTGTCATCACTACCCGTGTATACAAAGAATATATCATCGATATATCTTGCATAGAATACGCAGTCGCTACCAATGATTGGATAGATATGAGTCTCCTCAAATTTTCCCATGAATATTGTAGCATATGATGGAGCTGCAATGGTGCCCATGGCACAACCTCTTATTTGAAGGTAGTGTGCTCCATTGAAGTTGAAAGTATTCAATGTAAGGACATGCTCCATGAGTTTTATGATGACTTCTGTGTTTTCTTCTTTTAGTAAGTGCTTCCTGAAGGGCAGCCAGCCCTTCGATGTTTGAATATAGTGACCTAACGTCCATAGTCACTAGAATAGCTTTCTCTGGTACTGTTTGTATGTGATTAATTTTGTTCAGTAGATCTGTTGTGTCTCTGATGTAGGATTTTACTTCCTTAGCTAGCGGTTGTATGTAATGGTCTATGTATTTGGAAATTTTTGTCGTGTGGCAGTTGAACGAAGAAATAACCGGCCTTCCTGGATTGTTGCTTTTGTGTATTTTAGGAAGGAGATAGAAGCGGGCAGGTGTAATGTTTGTGGGTGTAAGTGTTGTGCATGTTTCTTTGTCGATTAGATTGTTGCGAAGCATTATGTTTAGTGAGCTAGTTAATTCTTTTTGGTATTCTGGAAGGGGATCTGTAGGTATGCTTTTGTAGGTTTCTTTGTCGGCTAGTTGTTTGTTGGCCTCTTTAATGTATTTTTCGATTCCCCAGATCACTGTCGCACCCCCTTTGTCAGCCTGTGTTATGATTACGTCATCTCTATGTGTCAGTGTATCGAGGGCTATACGTTCTCCTTCAGTCATATTGTCACGTGGCAGCTTACGTGCTATTGTTTTCTTTATGTCATTTGTTACGGCTAGTTCGAATGTCTGTATAGTAATGTCTGTGTTTTGTGGGGTGTAGGTAGTATCCTTCTCTTTTAATGACTCAAGTATAGAAGGTGTATGATCATTTTCCCCATAGTGGGCTTTTAACCGTATTCTTCTGAAGAAGGATTTCAGGTCCTTAGCCAAGGTGTCTTTATCAAACCTTGGGGGACTATATATATAAAAGCTTAGTCCTTTATTTAATACCCTGAATGTATTAAGTGAAAATTTATTGTTACTCAAATTTATAACTCGCCCGTATGGGTCAAGTTTGAATTTGCAAGCATGTGAAGTTCTTTTGTAAAAGCTCAGCTTGCATCATATCTCCTATTAGGGATGCTATACCCCCCACCCAGGTGTCCTGGTTGGGGGCTTATTCCGTTTTTTTAAGGTTGGGTGTGTCTGTTGTTGACTGTCTACTAGGGGCTAATCTAGGTGGTCTGGGATGTCTAATGGAGTTATGCGTTCTGTAGAAGGGCTGCTGTGTTTTGGTTTGTGTATGTTTGTACGGCACCCTAAGGATGTCCGCGTAAGTTAGTGGTTTGTTTTGTGTGTGTGTTTGTATTGAGGTTCTAGCTATCGTTGATGGTGGCGGTCTTGTTATTGTTGGTTGTGGTGCTGCTGTTTGTCTGTAGGTGTACTTATTTAGTCTGTTTTGTGTTTGCATTGGTTGTGTGGTGGTGGTGTTTTGTTGTTTTCTTTTTGGATATGGTCGTTCACTTTTTTCAGAGTTTGCCTTAATTTCTTTTTTGTTCGTCTGTCTGGAGGAAATATTCCATCTTAATTTCCTTTGTTTTTCAGTTTTTGTTTTTTGTAGTTCCCTCACTGTTTGGTCTGTGTGAGCTTTTATGACATGTTGATGTTGGTATATTCTTCCGTGTCCGTTTGTTTTTTTATTTTCTCATCGAGCAGGTTAATTTCTGCTTTTGTTGCTGTTATGCTTTTTTCTTGGCAGAACTGCATGGTATCCTCGCATGAGTACCCTGGAGAAGTCTTCTAATTTACGGTACCATGATGCTAGAAACGCGTCATTTGGTTACCTATATATATATATATATATATATATATATATATATATATATTACATATATATATATATATATATATATATATATATATATATATATGTATGTATGTATGTATATCGAATAAAACAGCTGTTCTATGGTGAAATGTGGGAAGGAAATAGAAATGCATCAAAGCCGAAGAAGAGATTTAAGGACACAATAAAATCTTATCTGAAACAATCTGGACTATCTGTAGACCAATGGGAAGAAATGGCTTTGGATAGAAGTAAGTGGCTGAAACTAATTCACGAAGGCATTGAGTCCTTTGAGAATAGCCGTATGCAGTACAGTGCCTACAAACGTCTGATTCGTAAAGGCAAACGGTCCAGCACCG